TACAAGCTGCGGGCGGCCAAACTGGCGAAGTACTCGCTCGGTGGCATGATGCTCCACAATATCAAGGAACATTAACGGGATGGAAGAGCTCCACATAATTTGGTTGACCGAGCAATAATCGGGCAAACCAGCTATTAGCTCATCGTTGTATGGCCTCCAAATGAACTATTAAGTAACAACAGAAAACGTGAGTATACGTAATACATATGAAGCCAGGCCAAGTAAACTTAGGTATACATTTACCTGTGCGTCCTCCAGCAAATCTAATAAATCCCTGCACAAGGGGAGATTATGTCGAGCCTCGTACTCTCAGCCATATCCCCGCCTATCAACCCACCTCCTAGCTAGAAGGAGAAACTGAGGTGGAGCACCCGGAGCTAATGGTGGTAGAGGTGGTTGCAACTGCAGGAACCGCTCCCAGGCCCAAACCTAACATACAAAGTGAACATAAAATTTAAGGTATATTTTTACTGGGTATGTTATAATGAATAGAGATTCGAATATGTTTTCACCTGTAGCAGCGACAACAATCCAGCAACGTCACGCTAACATACAAAGTGGACGTAAAATTTAAGGTATATTTTTACTGGGTATGTTATAATGAATAGAGATTCGAATATGTTTTCACCTGTAGCAGCGGCAACAATCTAGCAACGTCACGCTGGGTGCCCATGCTCGCCCGGCACATCTGCATGTACAAGTAGCCGAGAACAGCAACACCCCAGTTGTACTGGGGTAAATCATTTAGCCGCTCAAGATGATGAAGAAATCTCAAGCTTACTAGGTTCCCCGAAGAGTTCGGGAACAAAACCCCTCCAAACATAAGGAGTAGCAGCAACCTCGTGTACCAGTGAATATGAAGCTCCGGTGTATCGTCTGTGATGTCAGGGTGCAATGCCTCCAAATGTTGTCGGACAGTCGTCAACTGCAGACGACTGGCCCCAACCAGTGCAGTCTCCTCCGGTGGCTGTAAACCGGTGAGCCGTTGCAGTATGTCCAGGTACTGCAAACCTGTCTGCTCTCTCATGGCATGCGGCATAGCAACGGGGTGTCCATCAACGGGCAGCCCATACATGACCTCCACGTCCTGCAACGTGATGGTGGCTTCGCCAATGGGCAAATAGAATGTGTGCATCTCCGGTCGCCACCGCTCTATCAGGGCCGTGATCAACGACTAATCGAGCTGCAGCCGGCCGATCTCCACAATCCTATAAAAGCCCGTATCCTGGAGGCGTCTGACTATACGTGGATGGAGAGCGCGGTCCCTGAGAAAGCCCCACATATCGTCTACTCTCCTGGCGCGGAAAGTCTGGGCCAGTAACTGTCCCTCCCATATGTGGGACGACCTATGACGCCCTGTAACAACAGTAGCTCCAGGCTGGCAGGTTCGGGATGAAAAGGCGGAACCTCCATGTCATCTACTGTAAATTAAACAAGATTAATTACATTATTTTACTTTAATATGTTAGTTTATTATTTTACATATTAGTTTTATTATTTTATATGTTTGTTTGTAAATTAAATAATTAATTTTTATAATTATACAAGATTTAATTATTAAATATTCACATATGGGTTCCGGGCTCGATATTTGAGGCCCAGTAGCACCAAGATATCCTGGATTTGAGGCCCTTTTAAAGGGCGCTATATGTATTTTGATCACTAACTTTTTTTTTCCCGCCTATTTTTGTGTCTTGAGTCCAAAAACTCATTATTTTGGTACTGGACTCGTTGCGCCAGTAGTATGTATCTTTTTAAGGGATTTTTTCTTTCCTATACACTATATGAAATTTTATTATCAAAATTGTTCTAGTTTTGAAAATTTCCCACCCTAAATAAAGCTTGCTTACAATTTATATATAGTTCATTATTAGTGCCTTAAATTAGGGGATTAAGTTATACCCTTTTCCTTTTTTTTTCTCTCCTCTTCTCTTTCAATAAGATTCCTTCCAATTGTTGATTACCTATTTTAAGCTAAACAGAAACTCGTCCAAAAACATATGAAACTTGCTCCGGCCACAAAAGTGCGCGCTATTCACATGTTTTACTACACTCTCTGTCTGTCGCCCTCATATAATTTCGTTTGGACTTTTCCCTTTCTTTCAGTCTCTCTAGCATTGACATTCATTCTGTCAGTAGCCAAATACTATTAATCCAAATTCTAAAGAGAATTGTATTATCAATATCTTTCTTTTTATCTGACACTATTTTCAGTACTTCAAAGAGTGATGCCTTTTTATTTTTGAATTTATAGTAACTTAAAATCTTTTATTTTACCTTCAATAACATGATGATCGTAATGTATGGTACAATAACATATAAATTAAAAATAAATTTCGTACAAATTTGATACATCTACAAAAGCATATAAAATAAAAATAAAATTTATACAACTTATTTATAACTTATCTACTACTTTCATACATACTAAAACTAAATTTCATATAACTAATTATATAGTATACACTTATTTATAGCTTATCTACAACTTATCTACAACTTTCATACATTATTTTTACCAGTTAAAATACACCTACAACATCATACAACTTAAATACAAATTTCATATAATATGTCTTTTGTATATTTTGTATCTGATTTGTATATATTTTGTATGTGGTTTGCTTCTTCCTCTCTAAAATTCCAATCAAAACCTTCTCTCTTAATACAATTTTGATACATATCAACAACTTTATGTAAAAAGATAGTATTGATAACTTAAATACAAATTTTATATAACAATCCATACATTATGCAACTATTTTTCAACTTTTATACAACATTCAAATTAATATATACTCCATATATATATATATATATATATATATATATATATATAACTACAACAGAATATAATTTACATACAATTATACTACAACTTTACTACAATTTCGTAAGTATATTGTATGTCATGTGTTCTTCTTCTTCTTTTTCGAGTTTCAATATGAAATTCAGCCAAAATCAAGTCTAATCTTCACCAATCACCCTCAAAATTGAGATATAAACTCCAAATAATATTTTTAATTATTTGCAACAATAGCCAATCCAAACAAATAATGGTTTTTGAAAATCCAAATTCGAATTCAAAGCTTCAAAGCTTTTTAATGGCTATCAATGGTAGAGAGTCAAACACCTTCAAAATTTATTGATTGACAATTTAAATTTAAACACCAATTGTGCAACATAAAAGAAAATTGTTAAGTTAAAACTTTATAGTAAAACGATTGAAATCTATTGATGAATTCCATTAAAAATATATACAATATGAAAGGATAAAAAATAGAGAACATCAAAGGAAGACAAATTGGAGAAAGAATAGAGAATGAGAGATTGAGAGAGAGAGAGAGAGAGAGCGCAGGAGAGAGAGAGAGAGAGATGAAGAGAGAGAGAGAGAGCGCAGGAGGGAGAGAGAATAAGGATGAGAAATAATTGATTCCTTATTCAATTCATAATATAAAGGGATACTCATTTAATTCCTAAAATGTATATAATTGGTAAATTGTATATGCCTATGTAATTAAATTGAAACTTGAGTAGGGAGGGTAATAAAGTTTCAAATAGTATATAGGACGGTAAAAATTCCTTTTTTAATTGTTTTTGGTTTTTCGCTCGGAGTTCGGTATTCATATTGAGGCCTAATTAAATTCTGATTTGCGTCGTCCTTATTGGTAGAGGCATAACCAGGAATTTCATCAAAGGTGTTCAAACTTTAAACAAGTTAATAATAATTTTTTTTGTCGATGAATGGTGTACCAAAAGTTTTAGATCAAACTATGCAATATTTAGCTAAAATAATAATAATGATAAAATACTTTACCTAGCCATTCTCTCTCTTCGCTCCTGCTTCTCTCTAGGCGCTGGTTAGTCTAACGTGCGCCCTGGAGGTCCATGGGAAGGGGACGAGGCCGGGGAAGAGGAAGACCTAAGAAAGAGATACAAATTGCTTTTGGGAGTGCAGTGCATGTTCAATCCAAAGTGAATGCTTCAACATCCAAACAATCAGCTACCAAAATTCCAATGGAACAGTTACCCGCATTAGAACCTTCATCGAGCTCAACAGCTGAGAAGCGGCAGGAAGTGGAGCCGGTAGAGGAGGACAAAACACCACTACAAGTGAGATCTCAGGCGGAGGGTGGAACGCAACTGAAGATAGCTGAGGATCCAGTGGCTAAGTCACCTACTCAAACACAGGGTGTGAAAGTCCCAACACAGAGCGACCAAGAAATTAAAGAGGCAAATAAGGAGATTCCTACAGAGCAAGAGGCAGTTGTGAATAAACCTAAGTGGAACTCGTTGTTTGTTGGAAATAGAGCTGCGAAAAATTGTATGACCTTAACCTATTTTCCCTCTCAAATTGTTAATGGAGAAACTATAGTCCAACTAGAAAAAATTAAAGTAGAGAAGGAAATGGAAAAGTGGAAGAATGCCCTTATTGTCTATGTGATGGGAGAAACACCAGGGTACTCCCTCATGCATAGGTATATATCCCAGATGTGGAATACCATAGCTACACCGGATCTATTTCTTCATGAGGAAGGTTATTATGTGGCTCGATTTCATGATGTTAAATATATGAATGAGATTCTATTCTCTGGCCCTTATGCTATTCGAAATCGACCAATTATTCTGAAACCATGGACCCTTGCTTTTTGATTTTAGCCAAGAGTGCATGACTGAGATACTACTGTAATTTAAGTTCCCCAAATTACTTATGAGTTGCTGGGGATGTGTTTCCTTGGGAAGAATTGCTAGCGCATTAGGGAAACCTTTGTTTGCGGATAAATATACATCTAAGAAAACAAGGATCTCATATGCCAGAATGCTAATTGAAGTGAATGTGTCTAAACCACTACCTGACACAATTACAGTTATGGAGCCAAATGGACAAAAATTTCAGCAGGAGGTGGTATTTGAATGGAAGCCCCAATTCTGTCGTCAATGCTTAACTATAGGACACATATGCTCTAAGAAGATACCTGAACAACACTTGATGGAGAGGAAAATACAGAACAGGAGAAGAGGTGAACATAAGAAGGTGGTTCAGGAATGGAAGTCCAAAAGAGGCACCATCAACTAGCCAAAATGTGGACAAACAGCAGCCAGATCATCTTGAGGTAGCTCAGCCTAGAGTATCTATTAATTAAAAAAAATATCAACAACAAGAAGCTGTCTCACAAAATCAAGTAGCAACTCCAGATGGAACAGTAAGGAATGCCTCTAAAGGAAAGGAGCAAGTGCCAAGCCCGAAATTGAACTTGATTAACTTTCCACAGTTGAGTGCTACTATGGCTAGCAAATCTAAGACTGGAAAAGCATTGCCTTTGCAAATAGAAGACCAGAGAACTAGACAAGAAAAACCTCCTGATTTGGGAGGTAATACAACTTCTCAATAACTTGGCTTATATGGAATATTAGAGGTGTAAATAAAGTGTGTAAACAAAGAGAGTTAAAGAAATATATAAGGTCAAGAAATATCAAAATACTGGGGCTGCTAGAAACCAGAGTTAAGCAACATAGATGTCCAAATATATCTAAGACTATTGCTCCCAATTGGGGTATTATTAATAACTATTTCTCTTCTATCAATGGAAGAATATGGCTAATGTGGGATCAAGGAGACTACAATATAACTATACTGAAAGTGGAAGATCAATTAGTACATTGTGAAGTTAGAGATTTCTCTTCTAACTTTCAATGTGTTCTGACTATTGTCTATGGATTCAATACTGTGGAGGAAAGGAGATCTCTATGGAACACTCTTCAAAACATCTCGTGTAATACTAACTGCCCATGGCTAGTATGTGGGGACTTTAATACAATATTGTTGACTACTGATAGAAAGAGCTGCCATCTTGTGAATTTCAGTGAAGTGAAGGATTTTTCAGACTGTATCAATGCCACTCTACTAAATGAATTACAATGGAAAGGTGAATATTTCACATGGTCAAATAAGCAACAAGGATCATAGAGAGTTAGTAGCAAAATTGATAGAGCATTTAGTAACTATGACTGGATGATGTTGTGGGGCCATATTGTCTTAGAATATGACCCCCTAACATTTCAGACCATGCCCCGATGCTATTGACATCGTAGAGTGTGAAACATCACATCAGAGCTTCATTCAAATTCTTCAAC